CTTATATAATGTTTATAATCTAAAAATACCTCTATGATAATAAATGTGAGTCTTATCTTTTATGAATGTGAGTAAGGATATTTTAAAAAAAGTAGTATATATTTTATGAGAAACTGTGAAAATTAAATGTATTTAATGAATTTTTTAATATGTATGAAATTAATTATGTTTGCTTATATATAATTTTAGAGGGAGTAATTCTTTTATGAAATTATAAATGTTATTCACACACTCCTTCCAATTTTGAATATAAGTAAAAAATAATATTTACATTAACTAAGAAAAATTGTTTACATTATTTAACTTTGCTAATTCGTTCTAAAAAATAACTTATTTTCTTATCTTAAACTATCCTTTATTGAAACTTGATATGAAATAAAAAAAAGTTATTGAAAATATAATATCAATTAAATAAAAGAGTATTTTAGAGAAGATGTAACGACCTGTTATGATCCTTATATTTAGTGGAATCACACTACTATAAGTAGAAAAAAAGAAATATTAAATGTGACAACTCATACATACAGGATATATAAAATATAATAATAACTAAGTTTTCTAAATACAAATTATAACACTATATATATGTACAGTCATCCAAAATAATATTTCCTAGTGGCGGTCAAGCACAACAACAGTTATCCCAGTAGGTAACTCTAATACTAGGACAAAACTTCTCGTTTGGCAGGGACCTCAACTCCAAACTAGCTCTGATCTACTCTCATACAAAGTATGATCATTGAAGTCCATCCACATGGAAACAAAAGGGTAAGCTAGAGTTCAATAAACCATACAAGTATAGAACAATAATCTATACTACACATTCATCCAATCATGTTCATAGAGCCACACCATACACTCTATCCAAATCTACTCATGCATAAAATGCAACACACCAATCATGAAGTTAAACACCATACACTTCATCACAACAACATTCATGCAATTAAGCAACACATGAAAGATATCAAATGCATATCTATCATCTAATGCGTCATCACGCATACACCTAGGAGATCTCCCTAACAGCAGAGCAGTATAAGTGACATCCCAATGCTACTGAAACCACCCCAACCGTTTTCACGCCCAATGCGCTCACTCGGTCACAACTAAACAGGATATAAATCCTCACTCGGGTTTACTCGGATGATGTCACTTACACAATTAGAAGTTCGGTTCCACCGTCAGGTATAGCACAGCTGGGTATAAGCTTACCAGGACCTTGGCATGCATTACCAAGTCACTTGTGGGGTTTGCCCACCAACTATCCGCAAGGAACCACACACCTTCCCCAGTACTTGGTTAAGGGAATAACTCTCAACCTCACACTCCATTCCAACACTAGCTAAGGACTTAGAGGAGACTCACCCAAACCAGTGGCCTACTTGAGCACCACTCTCATAATCAGTGGCCTATCCAAGCACCACTCTCAAGAGACTCTATGTGAGCTCTTCTAGTTCGAAAATATTTCCCTTTCCTCAAGTCCTAGGCTAGACACATGCCATAAGGCTTCACATGCAATAATGCATCATACATCATACATGGTCAATCCACCATCATTATCAATAATCATACTCATTCCATAATGCATCACATGCAATAATGCATTATACATCATACATGGTCAATCCACCATCATGATCAATATCATACTCATATGAACATATACACATGTCATGTCATATTCAAACATTCATACATATCATTACCAAGCATACATGTAACATATGAATCATTCACCACTATACATCATAATCATACATATATGAACCAACTATACATTATAGTATCAAACAACTTTTTAATCAACATGATAACAACTTAACACATCAAAACAACATGTATCTCCCTTCGACAACTGTCAAAGAAAACAACATCTAAAGATTTATACTCATCCAAATAAGCCCAAACCCATCTCAAAAGAAATATAAGGGGATTTCCTACAACTCTTATTAAGACACCAAGTCCTAATTCCATCATCTACTTTGTCAAAACTTACAAAAACTGCAACAACTATAACTAATGTTAACAACTTGACCCCTGTTCACTAAAACAACCATATCTAAAGTTCTAAATCTCCTTTTTAGGTGATTCCAACGCCATTGGAATTCTAAGATCCAAGGCTACAACTTTCATGAAGACCATAAAGTCAAATTCTGAAAGCACACTCACGCCCGGCGCAACCAGCTCTTGCTCGGCGTGAATTCATCCATAAATTACTTTTGATGAATACAAGCCCGATGCCAAATGATATGCGCCTGGCGTAAATTCATACAGTAGCCCCAAAACTTCAAAAATTTCATCCAAAACCTGAAAATTAGGAAATCTAGCCACATGCAATGCATAAAACATAGCTCATAAGCTTCATATAACTCAAAAACAACCTCAGATTCAACATGCACCCACCCAATGCATCAAAATCACCAAAAACTCCATTTTTCCCAAACCCCGAAAATGAGCAATTTCTCCAATCCAACCATGGATTCTCAACATTCATGCATCAATTGAGTTTCTAAACTCACATGCAACCAAACAACAAACATTCTAGCTTCTCTCACCTGAAAATTGGCTCAAAATGACCAAGAACTGAGAAGAAGTAGAATTCCCTTTCAAAGCTCAACCTGGAAACATCAATCCACCCAAAACAAGCTTCCTAGTCTGAATTTCAAGAAAAGACAAAAGACATTAGTGATCTAGAGGAGAAGAAGAATCATACAGATAAATTTGGGAGAGAAATGAGCTCACAAACCTATAGTCCTTCTCTCTAAAACCTCTCTCTAAGTTCCCTATTTTCTTCTCCTCAACTGCATGCATGTGGCTTATTTATAAAAGTCTGGAGTGGCCAGAACGGCCCATTTCAGATTCGGAACAGCCCGTTCTGCACTCATTCGTCATGTGTAAAATTCACATCCAGAACGGTCCGTTCTCAAACTAGAACGGTTCGTTTTGGGGTTGCATTTTAACTCATAATGGTCATGTTTGGAATATCCCGTTCCCAAAGTGGAACGACCCATTCTAGGTTTGAATTTTACTCATAACAGCTTGTGTTGGAATGACTCGTTTCAATCTAGAGTTTATAAGCAATTTTAGTAGTTTAGAACAGTCCGTTCCAGTTTGGAAACGCCCCGTTCCAGTCTACTAATTACGTTACAAGAGAAGGAGATTAATTAAAATTTACTTTTATTTAAAACTAACAAATAAAAATGTGTTTGTTTATAAAATGCTCTTTAACTTTTTGTAATACATTTTTATTATTAGATAAATATATATTATTAAAAATTATAAAATTATGATCAAAATTTATTAATAAAAAATGTCAATCAATAAATTTGTAATTTTTAATAAATATTAATTGATAATAGACTGTTAGAAATATATTACCTTGATTTCAATCCTATTCATATTTTACTATTTTATTTTTGTTCTAAAACTATTTATATTTTACCATTTTCTTTTTATTCTGATACTATATATCGATGTTTCTCAAATATTTAGTCTCTTTGATTATTAATTCTCACTTATATTTTTATTTAAAAAAACTAGTTTTAATATGTATGGGAAATATTAATTTACAACCTAAAAAGTACTATAGAATATAATACACTACATTTATATCATATACTCCTACTGAATAAGGATATTTATTAAATATGTATTTACCGAACTATGTTACACTTCAATACCTTTTAATTTATATACACCAACCTATCCTTAAATATTAATAATTTTGAAATGAAACAAATTAATGAGTTTATCAATAACATTTTTCATTTAATTAATACATTATTTATAATTAACTCATCTTACCAAAATAATTCAATAATTAATTTTAAGTTTTTTTTAATAAATATTTTCAATGATTTAGAGGCAAGTTGAATTTAGCACCTAAGTACTTGTCTAGGAATATTCGTCAAACTGCGCGTGGACAACCTCACTTAATAATCCTAGTGGTTCACCATATTTAACTCAAATCTATTCATTCTTTGATTATTATTATTTTTTATATGACTGATTCTATTATTTTAATACTTTTATAAAACTTGTATATAAGTGAGATATTGGAATTGACCTTTGTATTAAGATGATAATTTTAGTATAGCCTTGAAAAATATTAATTTCAATGTTCAAATTTTGATCATGTAGACAAAATTTACTAAATACTATATAGTTTACTGTTGTGGGTGTGTTTGATAGTGTGAAAAAAAAGAAAACAAAAGGAAATAAATTAATTAATAGTATATTAACATATATTTAACTTTTAAATATTTTTATAAAAAAATAATAAATCATGTATTATTTATTTTCTCTTAAAAAAAGTATTAAGAAAGGTAAAAAATTAATAATAAAAAATAACACAAAATACTACTCATTATTCAGTGTTATCCAATGGAACTGAAAAGAGAAAAGTGCTTTTCTGTTCAAGTTTTGTTTGTTTGTGAAATGCAGGGAGTACGGGACATAGCTAGCTAGCTCTACACCGTAGCATAATTCATCATCATTCATGATTCATCACTCGAACCAAACCCAACTAGGAGAGAGAGAAATCTGAGACCCTCACGCACCCCAAGAAAGAAAATATATGCAATCCGATAAGGACTTGTGCAGCTGACACACACCAAGAGAGAGAGACAGCACTGTTCATTGCTCATGTTTTGTTTTTCCTTTTTTTCCTCATTCTCAGTTAATGTTGTTGCTCTTCTCTCTTTGCACTCACTCTCTCTCTCTTCTATGCTCTTCTGTCACCCACCCCGCTTTAATTCCCCACAAAACCGTTGAACGTTTTTCAACTCTCACTACCTTCATAAGCTACCTCCATCACCAATTCACATACCCTTTTGTGTTTCCATTCTCTCTCCTCACATGTTAGTGTTTTTCTTTCTCTCTCCATGGCTTTTAGTAAAATTCATCATGCATTTGTAGCATTATCATTCTTTTATCTTTCGGGTGTGAAATCTGTTCTAGGCTTCACAAAGGTTGTCACTTTCTATGTGGCCTTTTTGAGCTGTTTTGTTCTGGGGTGACATTTTGTGATCTTCACTTGAATTTTAAACTGGATTTAATGTTTTTATGAAGAAGATTTTAAACAGTAGCTGTAGCTAAAATTTTGTTGTGCTTTTTTTTTTTTTTTCATCTGTGTGTTCTTTCTATGGGGTCACAGTTGCAGTTGCAGTGCGGTCACCCTGTGACCAAATTGTTTTAAAACTTTAATTTTGACTAAAGGTGGATAAATAATAGTTAAAAGATTTAATTTTGAGTTTTTCCTGACTAGGTTTTGGAATCTAAGGGTGGGGTTATATACATGGTTTGGTTTATGGTTCGGGGGTTACCACGAAATTTGCTTAGTGTTTAAGGTTTTATCATGGGTTGGTGAGAGTGGACCTGATACAGTTCACCTGGTCTTTATCTTCAATGTGAAGCCTTTTTGTTGTTTCTATATAGTTTGGTAAGCTGTAAACTAGCTTCTCTTTTTGTCTTCTCTTTAATTGGTCTGCTACAATGTTTTCCTTGTTTGTGTGAACTACCTTCTACCTAGCCTTACCATTTCTTTTATTGATCTATGTTTCTACTTTTTGGTTGTCTTATGAATGTCTTGTACCTTTAATTGAAACTAGTGTCCCTTTCTCTTCTTTCATATGTATGTTATAATAGGATGTTAATACTTAGTAACTTCATCTGCAGGAACTGAAGCCTATGGTTTCTGATTTGAAAGACATATTGTTACTAATAGGATAATTTAAGCACTCTTTGACAAACTTATCACAATAACTGCACATTTGATCTCATAGTTTTCTAATTTGTGCATGCATTTTTTTTTCACACAAAATTTGTCATTATTAACTGTATATGGTAACAGCTAAGTGGTGTTGAATATTGGGATCAGCACGGGAAGGAACTTGAAGTAAATGCATGGATCGAGGGGACCAAATGACATTACCTGGTTCTGCATCATACTATATGCAGAGAGGAATACCTGGTGCTGGAACTCAGCCTGAACTTCACAATTCACCTAATATTCGTCCTTTGTCTAATCCCAATCTACCATTTCAATCGAGCATTGGGGGTGGTGGTACCATTGGATCCACATTGCCATTAGAGTCTTCAGGAATTTCATCTCCATGTGTCAATGTGAGTGCTCCTTCTGGGACTATGACTGGGGAAACTGTCAAAAGGAAGAGAGGAAGGCCTAGAAAATATGGGCCTGATGGTGCTGTGTCGTTGGCGTTGACTCCAACTCCAGCTAGTCATCCTGGAACCTTGTCACAAGGCCAGAAACGGGGCAGAGGCCGCCCGCCTGGCTCTGGAAAGAAACAACAGTTGGCTTCTCTTGGTAAATTCTCTTTCTCAGCTTTTATTTTGTTGTGTGTTTGACAGAAGTAAAGTAGTTATCATTTCAAGTTTAGATGTTGCTGGTTTTGTAAATCATTGTCCTAGTGATATTTGTTCATTCTAATATCAAAATAAACTCAATTAACAATGACTTTGGTGTTCAAAATAAACTTTTGATCTACTCAAGATGAACAGAAATCTGCTTATAATTAATTGGACTGCTATAATTTTAATAAATTTTTATAATCAGTATAGCATTATAACTTTCCCCAACTGCTGTAGAATTACTCTGTTCATTTCTAAGCAATTGTTAATTTGGGGATTTGCATTAAATTGTTTGTTCTTTAGAAAACTAAGAAAGCTATAATAATAATTATTATTTTTAATTCTATTATTGTCTTTTGGCACCTAAACTAAATTTAATGAGTATTGACGGGGTGAAAGGAATTTTTAGTCAATATGTCAATATATTTTCTTTAAATTAATTAGGGGTCTGGGTTGACCTGTGAGCTCACTCAATCCTAATCTTTAAAACTGGATTTGTGTTGGTATTTGGGGGTAAAATTGGGTAGAAATTCCCCTAACCTTATTTATTCACATTAGGTCTTGGTTTGATACATTTCAAATTTAATTGCAAACCTGGCCCTGCTTTTCCTCTCTCTCTTTTTAATTTAACTATTATTGTCTTTTTTTCTTTTTATGTATGTTAAAATTTAAATATTTATGTTATTTGATGATCCTACTCGATTGGCTTGGTTCAGTTTAGGATGAGAATATATAATTTTGTAAACCTGATTCATGTCTCCCCCCTTCAAGCAATGATATTTAATTTAATGACTTTCTTAATTGAACCTGGAGTGGTAATTATTTTAAAGGCTTAATTGCATTTTTGATCCCTCAAGTATTGCAATTGTGCAATTTTGATCTTCAAGGTTTTAATTGAGTAATTTTAGTCCCTAAAGAATTACAATTGTGCAATTTTGGTCCTTTAATTTTTAATTGAACACTTTTAGTCCCTCAAATATCATAATTGTGCAATTTTAGTCCTTCAAATATCATCATTATGAAATTTTAGTCTCTCTCATTACAAATTTAATAATTTTAATATATAAATTAAAAGTTACTAACAGTAACTTTTATATTGGTTTGATATATATTTATATTTTTGTAAAAGGATATTAATATATACTGTTATATTTATCAAATTATTAATTTATCTATAAATATACTAATAATATTATTGATATTAATTTATCAGTAATATTATAAAACTAATAATATATAAATTTTATTTATTTAGTAATAATAATAAATATATATTATTTGATACATTAACGAAAATTATAATATACGTTAACTTGAATAGATAAATAATTATATTTTTTTTAAATATTGTATATATATATATTAAAATTATTAATTTTGTAATGGGAGAGACTAAAATTGCACAATTATGATATTTGAGGGACTAAAATTGCACAATCATGATATTTGAGGGACTAAAATTGTTCAATTAAAAATTAAAGGACCAAAATTGCACAATTGCAATTCTTTAGGGACTAAAGTTACCCAATTAAAATCTTGAGGATCAAAATTGCACAATTGCAATACTTGAGGGATCAAAAATGCAATTAAGTCTATTTTAAATTGAAGAAACTTTCTCATAAAATAGGAGCCAAGAATTGTCTGATTCATTAATATTAATAATAATAACAATAATTATAAGAGTTAATCACCTATACACTGCCAGTGTAAAGTTTTTTTATACTGGCAACCAATCATATCTCTTAATAGTATCATGTCATTTGTTCATTTAATCAAATAAAAATAAAATAAAATAATTTAAAAGATATGATTGGTTGCCAGTGTAAAAAATTTACATTGACAGTGTATGAATGATTAACTCTAATTATAATAACCAATATTAGGAAAATATATTTTTCAGTATTGACTAATTATCAGTTTCTAAGCAAGTATATATTTGTAATTAATGGAGCAGTATTCAATTGGGTATTACAATATTATTACACAACCAATACTGAATTGAACGCTACAATATGTAGTAAGTTGAGCATAGGAGACAACATTAATAGAAAATAAAGTTGTAGACTTGTAATTGCTAAAAAAAGGGATGGTGCAAATTTGCATGTTAGATAATAGTTTCATGGTATTTCACCAAAACTACATTTGTGAAGTAATGCAGGTCTTAGCATGAATGTATATGATTTAAGACTTAACAAAAATAGACTAAACAAATGATCAACACAAATTTTGAGTTATGTCAATATGATTTAAGATTTAACATAAATAGACGATCCATAAAATTAAAAAGGGAAACTTAATACACTAATTAGACAAACTATATATTAGACTGAACAAATGGTCCCGTCAATCTGAATACAAATTTTGATTCACTTTCAACATTTAATTGATACAAACTGAAAATAAGGTAAAAATAACATACCTTCTTAAAATTTCTTAGCTTCGATGTTATACATTTTAACCAAACCAATAGTTCTTAGCCTTAATGTTAAAATTTCTTTCATCTATTTAATTTATATATTTATAAATAAATTAAATTCATGAATTTGTTATTATCTTTTTCATGCTTCATGAATGTTTAAAAACAATTAATGTATGAATAAACATGACCAACAAGGATGAATATTTTTTCCATGAAAGTAAACAAAAATTTATACTTAACTCATTCATGAGAATGAACTTTTTGAATTATAGTAAATAGGAAAATTTACTCTTAAAATTCACAGGAATGAACAATTTACCTGAAATTACATTAAAATCTAAATTATAATGGTGATTTTTTACTTCTCTATTATATAATTTTAATATAAATGTATTTTTTTTCTTACTTCCTCTTATTTGACTTATTTAAATGATTGAATAATTGTTTTTATCTAACAAAAGTATGAATAAAATATAACCAACAAGGATGAATATTTTTCATGAAAGTAAGCACAAAAATTTAGACTTAATTCATACATGGGAATGAACTTTATTCATGAAAGCAAGTAGGAAAATTTACACTTAAAATTATTGAGCTGCTATGTACAAAGACACATTAAGTGAAGAGATATTAACATGCTTAGAGTGTGTTTTTATGAAAGCAGTAAATGTCAAAACAACACATTTTAATATGCACAATATATCAGCTTTATTGTTATATAAATAAGTTGTGTGACCTGTGCGTTCCAAGGATACATATACTAGTTGGTAGAAAATGGGACATGTTATGGTATTTCATCAAAACAACATTTGTGAAGTAATGCAGGTCTTAGCATGAGTGTTATTGTGCTTACAAAATACATAAATACAGGCAAATTGTAATGTTAAAATCTCAACTCCCAAGTTTCTGAGAAATGGACAGGCTTAGAGGAGCCTTAAATGCCAATGGATTGTGGGATAAATTGCTCTTAGGTTAATATTATGCCGCTAGTGGCAAGAATGGCTGGATTTTGATGCTAAGGAAACTAATTAAAGACAAATAATTTGGAGATATAAAATAAAATGGTAAATCTTTGTTGTACAAGATGGATAAATTTTTTGTAAAATTGTGATTTATAAAAGAGTATCTGTTGTTGTACAGTATTGATTATATTAATTTTGTTCAATCATATATTACCTTTTATCTTGATGTTTTTAGTGGTGATTGCCAGGTGAATTGATGTCTGGCTCAGCTGGGATGGGTTTCACTCCTCATATCATCACCATTGCAGTTGGAGAAGTATGCCAAATTTTTTTAAAGAATTTTTTTCAATTTTTCTATTTTTATTCCATATATGTTGAGAAGTCTATCTTCAGAACATTTTGGGTGCATTTGGTTTGCTTTTTGCTTTCATTTTCAGTAATATTTTAAAAAATGCTACCTTAATAGGGGGAAAGAAATAGGAAACAAATCTAAACTAGATGTCATTTTTTTAATTGGTGAAAACATATAAACTAAAACAAGAAGAGAACAAATCAAACTCCTGCTTAGTATCTCTGTTCTCTTATTTTAAATGAAGATCTATATAAAAACATCAATTGATTTGTTCTGGCTAACAATATCTTTGGGCTGAGAAAGAAAGTACTACATTGATTTGGTTTCTTGATAAAACTACTAGTGTTAATGTCCCAATAATAAATAAATAAACTGGTGTTATTAATTTATAAATAGACGTTGACATTGTATATATTATTTTATCTTTTAAAGTAAAATGTTAAAAGCAGTAAAGCCCAAACCAAGTATTATGACAATATTGATGCCTATGATAGTAATGAAGATAATAACGTGGTAATGCATGAAATTGTGAACTTCATCTTTTGTCTGTCATTTATTTATTATTATGTTATTGAAGCTTATATATATATATATATATATATATAGATATATTTTGTGGAACCATCAAAGCATGTGATATGATACTTTCCCTAAAAATAAAAATGATTTCATTTGAGACATGTTGTGCTCAAAGAACTCTATGTTTCTTTTAATGATTCTCCCAGTTGTATTTGTATTGATGAAACACACTTTTGAAAATTGTGCCCTTTTCCTTCTCTGTAGGACATTGCAACGAAAATCATGTCATTTTCTCAGCAGGGACCTAGGGCTATATGTATTATGTCAGCCAATGGTGCTGTCTCTACTGTGACACTTCGCCAATCTTCAACATCAGGTGGCTCTGTCACATATGAGGTTTGTTACTTTCTTATGGGTGTACATTGATGTTCAGATAGGCTTGTAGTGCATAAACAATTCATATTTCTACTTGCCTAACACATTCACTTAATCAAATGACAATACTTTTGGAAAAAACCATGATTGATTAATTACAAAGATTCTTTTGATATTTTGGGAGAATGGCTTAACTTAAGAATTCTATTCATATGGAAGTTAAAAATAACATTGTTTCTGGAAATTAAGACTGTTCTGGTTGCTTTAAGCTTGTTTGATGTCTCCATAGCATGTACACAGCTCTTTTAAAACGGCAGAGGCCCACACTATAGAAACAAGATTACTGCACAAATATGTGCTATTCATAAATGCATTCCTTTGTATGTATCTGGTATCTTACATTTATGAATAACTACGCTGGCCATGTTACTTGAATGCAATATAATCTAGTAATCTGCTGAAAAGTAAAAAAGCACTGATTACTAACTGCATGTTCTTGGGATTCACCAAAAAGAAAAGCTGCATGTTCTTGGCTATTCTAGTTTCACATTTTGAATTAGAAGTATCTACTATAGCCAGCCTTCCTTGTTCCTAGCCGTAGTACTAGTTTTGTGGTTTCTTGAACTTGAAGTACTTCATTTTACTCAACTTTTCTTAAATTTATAACCATCCCAAGTGGTTCAAAATCAGTATGCTTTCTTATGTTTCTTTTTCCCAGCCTTTTTAACTTGTTACAGTTATTTATTTTGGTTAATGTATAATTATTGATGGACTTTGGCCTCAATAGGGGCGTTTTGAGATATTGTGCCTGTCAGGCTCTTACTTGGTTGCTGATAGTGGTGGCCCTCGCAGTCGAACTGGTGGATTGACTGTTTCCCTTGCAAGTCCGGATGGCCGTGTCATTGGTGGAGGAGTTGGTGGAGCCCTTATTGCTGCAAGTCCTGTTCAGGTAACTAAATTTGTATTGGTGCCTGGATATTATATGTGGAAGGTCATGGTTCACGCATCAAAATTGGAGACTTGTTAAATTTTGATGTTTTATTACTGTAGGTGATACTTGGGAGCTTTATATGGGGCGGATCGAAGACCAAAATCAAGAAAAAAGATGGTCCAGAAGTTGTGGAAGCTGCTATAGAGTCAGATCATCAGACAGTTCATAATCCAGTTGCAGTGAACAGCATTTCCCCAAATCAAAATCTTACTCCGCCCACATCTCTAAGTCCTTGGCCTGCATCGCGATCATTGGATATGCGCAATTCCCATATTGACATTGACTTAATGCGTGGGTGACAATTTATTTAGTAGTGAGTATATATCTCAGATTCATGGTCACTCATCTAATTTACCTGTAGTAGTAATTACAGCATGGGAAGTACCGACAGCAGAGTAGAAGCCAGCTGACTTTTGGAATTTGATATAATTCCTTCTATCCACCCATTATTGACTTTAGGGTTGTACTCCTATTTTTGTAGCTGTGAGGAATTTTAATTTGAAGATTTCATGTTCTTGGTTAAATACAGACTGTTGTTTATATCCTATTTGAAAGAAATTGACATTTAGCTAGATGTTTTGTGTTTTAGGGGCACAGATTATGATATAATCTAGTGTGATTTTTATCATTGAACTGTTGTCTCCTGAAATGCAATGACAAAGGGTGCATCAAGATTCTCTTTTCTTTTGAGAATGCATAATAGGAAGTGTTGCATGTGTCAATCGCGGTGTTATGGTTTGATTGCACTGATTATCATTTTGCTCAATTCTAGTGTATGCGATTCTTGTTGCTCAATGGTTAGTTACCCTGTTCTTTTCCAATGTACATTCTCTCTTCATGCCTCACCCTTTCCCTAAATTATTTTTCTATACACCTCATTGATAATCGTGCCCCTCGTGAATGATCATTTGAATGGCTTCTAACACCAATAATCTAGGCTCCAACCTCCTTTTGAAAAAAAAAAAGACAAAAGTTTTTGGAACTGATCTTTTGTTAGAATAGAAGTTTTACTTCGGAAATACTATAATAAAAGTTTGTACTAAAGTTTGATGCGAATATTACGTGAAACTTCAATTTTCATTGGAAAAAAAATGCCATAAACACTGAGGATTTGTACCAAAGTTTTGACCTTTGAAAAAATTGGTAGTTATGGAATCTTTGGGATATATTGCCTTACTTGATCCTTGTTGGTAACTTAGATGACTGTTATTGATTTGGTCTCTAATGTCCTATGAAACAAAAAGTCAACAGTTTAATAAGTTGTTACCTTCAATAACAACTTGCTTCCATAGGGAAAAAAAGAGCATGTCATGTGCATTTCATATAGACTCGCATGACGTAACAGTTTTCTTAAATATGCAGGAAACGTGCAAAACCATTATTATCAATGCATTTTTTTTTGAAACAAATTAAGACATGTAAAAGGAAAGAGGGTTAAAAAAAAAGGTTTCCTTCATTTATATACCTATTCTATTATCTCCCTTGATTGGCTCTGTTGTACTAGATGACGTTGTACAATTGTTACCGTTGTTTTATCGTTTTTTGTTTTGGTTTCTAGTAATGTCGTGTTTGCCCAAAATTTTGAATTTACACACTAGATTGCAGTTCAGTTGCTTTCCGTCCAAAATGCATGAATCATGCAACGCATTTTGTGTGAAACAAAATTCTAGAAAGTGACAGTTGCAACATCCAACACCACTTTTTAAGTGTTCATTTCGATACTAGTATCAACCATCAACATCACTGGTGGTCACAACTCAAAAGTTGTTAAAATTTAATTATGATTCTGAAAACTTGCAATTTTTGAGGTTAAGTTAATGACCATTTGGCTCGTGTTGTTTTACTCGCAATTTAATTTTGTCACAATGTGGTTGTTTTGTTCGTAGATTTCCACAAGCTGAGGTCATGCTCAATAATGCAGTCTTTACAAGTGTTCTAGAATATTGGATTTTCACAGATCGAAATCAACCTCAAAGATAATACTCTAAGTGTTTCATGAGAGTCGAAGTAGATGTTGATTTCAAGTGTCTATGAATCCATCTTTCAAATGAAGTGAACTTAATGAAACTTACTTGTAGGGTTCCTTGTTGGAAGAGCAGTAGTAGTCCCCTTTATGTTGCTCACCTTTCCTTCATCTGCCGCCATTGCTCCCACTCAAATCTGACTTCTCGGATCGCTTCTGCCAACAAATTGGTAACGCTGACCAATTTACACTATTCACTATTCACGTGAATAGTAAAATACTATTCATATGAATAGTACCCTCGCCAGAGTTTAGCAGAAACAACCGGCTCTGATACCAGTTGTTAGGAAAAATTACGCTGATCTTTCCCGTAACTTCAGATTTGAGAATGGAGCAAAAATAATTGTGGACTAATAGCACACACAAAATTGATAACGGAGTTCGGCCAACTCTGCCTACGTCTCCGGGCTGCTGCAGATATTTTACTGAAAAAGGGAAATATAAACAGTGTTTACAAAACACTCACAATCTCTCAAAATACTCACAACCACTCACAACCCACGACCCAACTACACCCAGAAAAATTAAGAGCTTCTCTCTCTCTCAATTTTCTTATGTGTTTATGCTTTCGTTGGATTGCATAAAATGAACGGAGTGGCTTGCTATTTATAAGGAACGATTGCAGTGTGAACGCTCCATCAAATTGTGAATTCGGTGGCCTCCAATTTGGAATTCGGTTTCCAAATTCAATTTGATTACTGTGCCTCCAATTTTGATTTCGGTGGCCTGCCAAATTTGATTTCATTGGCAGCCACCTTCTTTGACTTTTCAACAGCTTCGATAATATGCATGTCTCAGTGTAGGCATAACATTTGAGTAATTTATAATATTGAAATAAGAAAAAAAAATCACATCTTAAGAGAAACTTGACATATATTTACTCTTATGTGTAAACATTTATATTGAAAACATGGTTTTTTAAAATTATTCAAAAATCATTGGAATCTTCTAAATTATTTTATCACGATCTTAAATTTAAAGATTTTTTTTTGGGTGAAATTCTAAATTTTAATATTGATATAATATTTACTACGGTTGATATAATATTTAAGCATGATAACTAAATTGTACATGTCCGACTCAATTTGATGGGAAAAATACAAATTCTCATTGCTGTACCTGTACTGCTAATTTTTTTTATATGTTTTTAACAACAATATATATCCTTCCAACCGAAGAAGTCATTGCTACATCTTTGTCTTCTAAAAGGTGGAGAATTATGTAGACTATTGTTCCATCTCTTCACATTGAGTGCTTCAAATCAATCATGAAGCAATACAACAGACTTAATGTATTCTTGGCCTTATGCAGAACACAAAATATAATAGGATTATGATTTTATTTCAGATTCTATGCAGATTTATCGTTGGCCAAACGTTGACAAAGCCAAGGTTTATTTGACACTATTTTGATATGAAAGAAACAACTTCCAACATTCTTCATGGATATACGTAATGTTGAATTTCTGTCTTGAAATATTTTAGTGATCACATTAGTTCTTATACTCTTAATCTTCCATTATTTAATAATTTTGTTGAGTTACAAATTTTTCTTAAAGAATATGACTCCTTAATTATGGAATTTCCCGGCAAGTGTCCTAATAAGCTTAAGTTACTGAAATTAATATAACATCAGTGGACGAACAATGATGCAAGACCTATCATTTTTACCTAAACCAACCATAGTTAGAAATAGCCTTAACTAGTACTTCGGTTAACAATTGGTAGATATAGAAAAAAAGAACACTAGAAAAAAATATAACTACTTTAAATTTGAATGCATGATACACTAGAAAAAAGAACACAAGCAGAACAGGTAGAGAGTAGAAGGCATGTACTAGTATTGTAGCATTACATTAAGCATCAGACCAAGTAATTTGTAATCCACCCCATTGACTTTGAGGCACACCTAAGGCTTTCCAGACAGCTTTGGAGGCATCAACGATGTTGTTGGAACAAGGAGGTTGATAATCATGGTCTTGATCACATCCCATGGTGGAGTCACACTCATCCACCACCATGGCCAGCACACTCTTCCCATTTGCAGTGATGGTGATGTTGTGGAGACACCTACTCATGTTGTTGAACCATCCAGTGGAGAGTGCAACTACTGGTGTGTCATCAGAATGGTACTGGTTGTCACATGCTGAAGGGCCACCTCCATCTCCACCCTTTTCAAAACTATTGAGTGTGAGTTGAGCCTTGGTGTGGCTTGACACTGCTGGAGAACATTTGTATGTTGTGTACATCTTGCCTTGTACACAACAATCTGAATCATTCTCTTGGTTGCATTCTCCTGGAGGAGGCTTCTTTCCTATGATTCTGCCACTTGGACGACACTGTTGTGCTTCAGAACACAAACAATTTGTTGAAAGCAAAATCAGCACCAGAACAAGGGATGCTATTGAAGTAGAAACCTTCATTTTGTATATGTTCTCTTTTTCTATGTTGTTTTGCTAGGAATACTTGATGAAAAGGTGGCGTTTAGATGGAAATTTATAGGTGTAAGATGTAACGTTCTTTCTCTATCTTGTCTTTTAATAGTTTTATATATTATTTTAAAAAGAGGAGTTTTATTGCTACTGCCACTGCTAGCATCCAATGCAAGCTTCCATGTCTCAATACTATAATGAATTGAGGCAACAAAAAACACATTTATTTATTTGCATTATTGGAGATCCCTGTAGTGCCGTAAAATTTCCAATCGAGTTTTAGGCTTCTGCTATGGCATGAAATATATCCTTTGTAATTGTTGTCAGTAGTAATATTTGAAAGTTGAAGCTAAAGGCCTCTGTTTTGTCTATTGTCTTTCCATTATAATATGATATGCCATTCATTTTTAATATTTTGGTTACATTTCCGCTACCTTATGTTCTTAATAATTTAGTTTAAAATTTTTCATATTTAATTATTAAAGTTGATTATGTACTAGTGAACTTTACGTCCGGGTTGGAGGGCCGTGACTTTAATTTAAATAAAAATTTAAGATAAAATAATTGGAGTAAATTATGCAATTTTAATAATATTTTAGGTATAACCAAGTTTTTTATTCAATGATTATAAAACTTATCTCGAGATATGTGAAGTCCATCTAATGTTAAGTCAGGTTCTGTTAGTAAATATTAGTCTCTAATTGTCTGTTCAAAAAAATTATATGTATTAAATGACTATGTTTTTCTTTAATTTTTTAATCGTATGATTGATTATTAAATAGTTATGTTGTGGCAACTATTTTTAGTTTAATTTAATTATTTATTGAATTGTAAAATTTACCATGTCATTCTTGTAATCAATGACAACCAGAAGCATACAATTTTCCATTTTTTTTTATCTCAGTCTTTAATGCTTATCTTCTTTGATTATTTTAAAATAAGCTTTAAATACTATTTTCTTTTAACAATTTCATTTATTTTAGTTTCTTTAAATTATAGGAATTTTTAGTTCCTATATATTCTTTTATTATTATTATTATTATTATTTAAATATCTTTTGGTTCTTAGTTTCTATACATACTTTTTTCATTTTTCGTCTTCATCGTTTATTTTATTCATTAATGCCTATTATAGTGGGTGACTAATTACTTCAAAGTAACATCTTTGAAGTCAAATTTTTTCAATTTGTTAAAATTATCTTATTACAAATTTTACTGTCTAATTAAAATGAATTTGTACTTAGTTTCAAACCCAAGATTGGACGATAATTACAAAGTTTTGGTTGTTCCTTTCCTGTATCGAGTGACATTGTTGAAGGCAAAGATGCTAACAATTTGAATCTATAGAAAGTTTGGGTTGTGATTAAGATGAACACGAGTCATTTTTCTTTGATGGTTACTTATTGCACATGTAGAGGGAGATGAGACTTTATAATTAAAGATTTGGAAATTTCTAGAAAAATTTACTAAGGTGTTCTCATAATAAGGTAATGCAATTTGGATTTCTAGCTAATTGATTTTATGTTTAATTGTAGTTGTATTTTAATTTTTGTTACATTTGTCCATTTGGATTCTTGCTGCAAGAAGTATGGAGTTGTAGGGAACTTTAGATAAGTGGATGAGACAACTTCTGAACATATTTTTTTGAATTTTAACCAAGTACAATGAGTATTTTTTGATACATAGAAGTACTTTTTGTGTATATATTGAGATTGTTCCCAAAGGATTGGTGTGTCATGTATAGTGTTGCAATCCCTAAACTTCCATCTATTGTATTGAAACTTCTCTCACAATCATATATTGTTTTCTTGTTGTGAGATAAATTGGAGCAATATTCCTTTATCAATTCTATAAAAAGAAATAGGCTCAATCCTAAGAGAGTTGAAGATTTAATTTTTATACATACATATTTTCTTAATAAAGAGTAAGAGTTATAACACTACAAAAAATGTTACATATAGTCACATACAAAAAGATCATTATAGATATAATATATAAATATAAATATAGTTGATATATATTTACAAATAATTGCAGTACGTATTGATTTTAAATAGAATTTGATAACATATATTATGTGTTATTATAACCTATTTCTATATTTTTTAATAATATATTAACATATTATTTTATAATGTAAATAAAAGTATCTTTTAGTAACAAATACTGTATGATTATAGGGTATGTAACTATAGAACAATTTTTTTTAGTGTAAGAGCAAAATGTGAAATATTGAAAAAGATGCATGAGTTTACTCCATAGAAAAAACTAAATGTTCTTTTAGACAACTTTTATATATACTTTTTGATAAATTCTAAATACAAGCAAATCCAATCCAAATAAAATGTAAAATAACATAATGAAATTTATTGAGTAAAAGCTCAAGCCACTACGTACATTTGAATCTAACAATAGAACTGGGGAAATCAGAAAACTGTGTGGAAATAAAAACAATAAGAACTCCTAAAACTAGAACACGAAATTATTGCTCTAAGAAAACAATAGCTTGGTCTCTTAACCAATTATTTAGCCATATAACAGGTGAAATAGGAACAATTGATAGGTCGTGCACCCTTACTCCTTCACTAATATTATAGCGACATCTCTGACCATCATCCAAGATATTAATTTCAAGAACTTGAAGCTTAGGACACTTGGCAGGTAATTCCATAATAAAGGGATCATCTTTTGTGACAAAAAGTTGTAACTCAACCAAATTCTCAAATAATGGAAGATCAAAAGTAGAAGGATTAACATCCCTAGAATATTTCAAAGAGAGAAATTCAACAGAATGTATTCTTTTGAGAAGGTAGGAAACAGCCTGCATCATATAGTTATGCACTGTCACATAAACCTTGGCTTTCTCAGGTTTTAACCAACCACAATTCTGCATTGAGTCTGACATAAAATCATAATCATAATGCATGACTTCGTCATAAAGCCAATTTTGATGGTAGAGTCGGAGATATCGATAGTTACGCACAGCCTTCAACTGTAAAAAATAATCCTTAGTAAAATTATGCTTCATGTAGATCAGTTCAACAGATGGAGAACTAGAGATAATCTTTCTAACATTTTTCATGGCGAAACGTTCGCAAACTTTTAAACGCAGAGTCTTGAGATTAGGGAGATAAACAGAAGAAGGAATGGTGATTTCAAAGGGACCCTTAATCTTCATGTTGACAATTGTGGTGCATGTGAACAAGGCATCCACGTTGATTTTGCTTATATGGCACCTGAATAAGGAGATATTCACTTGTTCAACTTTTCTTATTGCGACTTCTAAAATCCATTGTTCCACATAATGCGAGCAACACTCATGATCGCTATCGCATTTGAGACGAAAGCTTGTGATGGTATGCATTCTGCGTAGAGCCAAGAACACCTTGAGACTCTTGTAGTGTTCCATGATTGGTTTGGCACACCCAATGTGAAGAGATGGAACCATGGTCCATAAAAATCTCCATCTTTTAGACAACAGTGATGTAGCAATGGCTTCCTTGGTCGAAAGGAAGGAAAGGATGTGACACAGAAGCTCGTCCAGTAACGCCTCAATCGTCATCGTGTCACTGACCAGATCAAGTGTAGGGTTTGTGTGCAATTAGTTGTACTTGAATGAAGAATCTGTTTGTGAAGATTATTTATTTATTTATTTATTTTTATCGTTAGGAAATACTATTTATCTGTGTGTGGAAGATAAATAGTAGAAAGTGATGACTTTGAATTTGAATTTCGTTAAAAGATAAAAACCTATAAACTCTCACCAGATAGTATTTGATATATAAAAAGTAGATTTAAAATTTATATAAATAAATATTTTAAATATATATATATATATA